TGAATTTAACTGAATAATCCAGCATGATCTAGAGAAATTTTTTTTATTTTTTATCTTCCTTGTGTTTCAGGTCGGCTTTATTCAGACTCAGCCTGGATGGACGCTGTGGTGAGACCTTTACCTCCGTCTCTATTAACATATACGTCTCTGATCCTGTGACCTTTGACCTCTGCGATCTACACCGCCCTCTCTCCTGTCCCAGAGTGTATATCGGGGGACAACCTCTCCGTGTCCTGTCCCAGGCTGAGTCCAGATGGGTCCACGCTGATCTACCTGCAGGGTAGAGTGTTTGGGCCTCACAACCAGTGCCTCAGTGTGCAGCAGGTGTGGGGTGTGTTTGGGTTGTTTTGTACTTCTCTGTGTGTTTTCTGTCCATTAACAGTTGAATATTAAACCTGCACAGTTGGACCTGAGCAGTGGGAAGACCTCGACCATGGTGGACGTGGTCAGCAGACCTCAGACTGGTGGGTTAAAGGTCGATCAGGCCACCCAATCAAGACTCACTCGGTGCAACGCGTTGGTCTAAACTGTTGGAGCTTTAATTAATACACATCTAGATTATATCTAGATTAGTAATCTTGTACATTTCTGGTGGTTCCAGGTGAATTTGCGGGCGTGTATGAAGCGCTGCCGTCCCGCTGCTGGTCTGCAGACGGCCAGAAAGTCGTGTTCAGCAGCGCCGTTAGAAACTGGAAGGTAACGCTCACAGCTGTCTGCAACCAACAAGCAGATATTCATGCCATACTTTCAAAATAAAGCGAGCTGTGTTTGATTTTGAGTCATTAGCAGTTAAACTGCTCTGTGTTTCCTGTCAGGATGTCTTCATGGTGGACAGAGGAACAAAGAAAGTCTCTTCCCTCTCTGATAGTAAGAGTCCGTCCTCTCCTCTCCCTCCCTCCTCTCTTCTGTCCTCATCTCCATCTTTTATTTTCCCTTCTCCTCCCTCCCAGCCTCCCACTCCTCTCCTTCCTCCCCCTCCATCCCCTTATTGGTGTTTGTATTCACCTCCGCCACCACCTCCTCCACCGGCCGTCCCCCTCTTCCCTCCTCCTCTTCCTCTTCTGTCTCCTGTTCTTCCACCTCCTCCTTCTCCTTTTGCCCAAAATTCGGCCCCTCCTCTTCCTGCCGACTCTTACTTTCCAAACCCTCCTCCTCTTCCTCCTCCTCATTCCTCGTCTCATCTTCACCAAGAACACCAGAGACAGGTGGAAGGTATGACATTTCAAAGTAAAAGCCCAGGGTTGCGAGCTCTATAAAAATGGAAGAACACTTTTGACAGTGCAGTTGTTGTATATGTATCTTAAATTCATACATCTTTTAAAAGTATTCAAACCTTTCCACGTTTTGTCACATTACAACTACTAATGTCAAGTGTGTTTTATTGAGATTTACTGTGATAGAGCAAAAAAAAATATGCACACAGTTGTGAAGCAGAAGGATTTAATACATGGGTTTGACATTTTTTTTGTTGTTGTCTTTCCTGCATTTCAGCTGCAGACGTCTCTGATCTTTCTAAGGTTTATGGAAGCTGGAAGCTACTGACAGTCCAAAGAGACCTGATGGTCATCTGCTGCTCCAGCCCCAACTTGCCTCCCACCCTGGTCAGACACACTCACACACACACACACTCACACTCACACACACACACACACCGATGTAACCCAGATGAATGGGTTTTCCAGCTCAGGTAATGTGTTGCTCTGGTGTGTGCAGAGGGTGGGATTCCTCCCATCAGCAGACGAGTCTGTAACCTGGAGAACTCTGCAGCAGCCCGTCACGACGTTTGATTACCTCTGGACGGTCCTAGATGTCACACCTACATCAGACGAAGACAACCAACGTTACCGTGAGCTTTCAGCTTCTTTCTCATTAGAAGATTTCTTTGGGGAGTAACATGATAAACGTGTGATGTAATTTGTCAAACCTGGATGGACAGATTATTTGTCTCAGGACATACAAGCACGACATGGTAACGGTTTTAACAAATATGTAAAAAAAACAACACAAAACATAAATATATATTTATAAATGTTACTGCACATTTAAGAGCTGGAACATTAATATGAACAATAAAATAACAGAAAACATGTGAGATTTTTTCCACTTGTGAATTCCTGCAAGGTTTAGAATCAAAAAAAACTTTCAAGAAAACCAAATGTTTGATTAAATAAGTTTTGTTCTTCGTTCTTCTTCATTGTCTGTTTTCTAAACAGCTGGCTTAGATTTCGGGGCCATCTTGGTCAAACCGTCCCGTCTCTTCTGTGAAACCGGAACACCTGTGGTTGTCTTCGTCCATGGTCTGGACCTCTCTTTGGCTTTGCATGGGACATTTTCACATAGCAAAACGGCTCATATAAACACCCAGAACAATGCCTTGCTCGTTTAGGTGGCCCTCACTCCCAGTTCCCTGCAGAGTGGAACAGCACCACCGCTGGACTGGTTGAACTGGGCTTTGCTGTGCTTATGGGTGAGATATTTTGTTTCCTTGCTCGTCTGCAGAATTTCTCCCAGAAACACACAGATGGCGACTTTCATAATCTTACAGATGTGTATGAGGAAAACACCTGGAAAGATCCCATGTGTGTAAAGTTGCTGTGTGCATCAGTTGGGGCAATGTCAGCCTGGATTTTTTTTTTCCTGCACTTTAAAAGTTTACTTTAAATATCTGTTTTGGATTACATCGCATGCCAGCGATAACAATCATAACTAGATTTTAGTATTTTTTTTGGGTTCCAAGGGTTTGATCCCTTTGTAATTCAGCTGTCGTCACTCTGCCTTTTTTTCTGTCTCCATCCAGTGAACTATCGGGGATCCACAGGATTCGGACAAGACAGCATTTTATCCCTGATTGGTCAGATTGGGAGTCAGGATGTAAAAGATGTTCAGGTATCAACTTTCCTTGTCTGTCTCTTGAAATAAGCCTATGATGAGCGAAGTGTTGATGTTCTAGCAGATGAGTGTTTGTCACATCACAGAGATCCTTCACCTTAACACCATGAAATTAATCTTGTCTGTGTTCACCCTGTAATACAGCGGGCTGTTATGGCTTCGCTCCAAAGTGACAAAACCCTCGATCCCAAACGCTTGGCTGTGATTGGTGGTTCCCATGGTGGTTTCCTGTCCTGTCATCTGGTTGGTCAGTACCCAGACTCCTACAGAGCGTGCGCAGCCAGGAATCCGGTCATTAACGCCGCTACGCTGCTGGGAACCAGTGACATAGTGGACTGGTGAGAAAAACTGTACATAATATTCACAACAGCGTCGGTGGGATGTGAAAAAGTATTCACACCTCCTGGACCTCTTCCGTTTTTGTTTGTTTTTTTGGATTTTTTTTTTTTTTTTTTTTTAGGAAGGGCACATAAAAACACAAATTAAGTGAAAGGGAAATATAACATTGTGTAAGTTTGTTCTCTTCAAAAGTTCAATGGGTGGGGATACTTTCACATGGGACTGTAATAGTCACTTTATAACATGAGTTTTGTTTTTCTGTCTTCCTGCTTACAGGAGATACACAAGCGCAGGCTTTCAGTTCTCATATGACAACATCCCTAATGCTGAAACCCTGGCTGCAATGTTACTGAAGTCTCCCATCACACATGCAGCACAGGTAAGACTCATATAAACACACACTTTATTACATTACAGCTTTGAAGAAACTGATAAATGACCTTATTTAATTTCTATTGTCAAATACGTTTCAGTAGCAATTCTTAACATGATTTATTGAGCATTTTGAAGTTCCCTGTATTACCAAAAAATGCCCTCTAGAGGGTGCTAAACTCTAACATAAAAATGTTCGCATTTTTATGTTAACAAACAATTGTTTGTTTTTTAAACTGTAAGAGTTTTATTTTTTTATTTTTATTTTTTTTTTTTTATTGTTATGTTGTGTTTTAATGTACAGCACTTTGTATCAGCTATGGTTGTTTTAAAGTGCTTTATAAATAAAGTTGGTATGGTATGGTACATAACAGTTTTGAGTTTTAGAGATGCTATAAAACATCACTTTCATGAACAGATAGGATTTTTGAATTACAGTTACTTCTAGTTAAGGGAAGAAAGAGTTTACATGACCTTTATCAAGTCAATGTCACTGTGTTTAACGTGTGTAGATCAAAGCACCAGTGCTACTGATGTTGGGTGGGAAGGACAGACGAGTTTCTCCTCATCAGGGTCTAGAGCTCTACAAAGTACTGAAGAGCAGAGGTTCACCTGTCAGGTACAAGCAAGCGGCATTAAAACCTAAAATGGTGGCTCAGACCCTTGGACTTCTACCGTTTCATTTCTCTCTCCAGGTTGTTATGGTTTCCGGAGGACGGACACTCTCTGTCCAGGGTGGACACTCAGGTCGACTGCTTCCTCAACACCGTGCTGTGGCTGAACCAACACCTCTGAGCAAATCCTTCTAAACAAACCCCTGTGATGAGGCTGCTGTGATTCTGCTGACTGCTGCTGAATTTTTGACACACCTCATTTGGAATAAAACAGAAACCCTTTGTACTAAAATGAATCCTAATTTTATAAAAGTGTGTTTGAAAGAAAATCATGCAATAAACACTGGTCATGATCTGCAGATTGGATCATTTTGTTTTCATCTTGGTTGAGTACCGTATCTCCTACGGTTGCCTTAACCCTAATTTCTGGTAGATTTTTTAATACTAATAGCTGACATCAACGTGCATTATTTTTTTAAGAATGAACAAAAATACACCTGATGTTCTCTAAAAAAAGAGATCTGATTTGATGTAATTAAAATATATCTATAATTTTTAAAATGAAATACAAATTTGTTCAGTTTTTTGTTTTGTTTTTTTGTCTTTATAAAAAGAAAAGAAATTTGACAACTTAAAATTGGACCCAATCTATATCTTTAAGAAGCTCCTACTCTTTCCTACGCTCCGCCTTCGCCACGTCATGAAGGCACGCAAAGAGCCTATGGACGTCAGCTTTCGTGTTCGGGAATAAGCGGCTCGGTCGCTTCCGGTCGATTGAAAATGGCATTTTACCCTAGGTGCTCACAGCGCTTGCCCAAGTTAACAATTAATGTGCATCGATCAGAAGCACCAACAAGTGAGCTGCAGAAAAGTTTTAAGACATACGCCTCGCTATACATTCACAGATACAAAGGTGAGTTTTACTTTCTTCAAACTTTGTGGCTAACATTAGTTTTATTACTTTTGCATGCTTTTCAAACAGGACGGTGTTTGCAGCAGTGTGCACAGGCGGATCAGTTGCTCGGCCGTCTGGCTCTGGTCTGCTCACTCCTTACCTTACATACCGCCACCTACTGTGCATGAGCGTGTAACACATGCTTGAGATTTACATGAGTTTGTATGATGAGCTCAGCAGATGCATATTTCTACCAGGTGTTTACTAATTTCTGATGTGAAGGAGCTGAGTGGGGGAGTCGGAGTTGGGGGCTGCTCTGTGAGGCGGAAGCTTGTAAGTTTGGAGCCTGCAAATCAGTGATTCTTGAGAATAGGGACAAAATGGGTTTTAATTTCTTCCAATTTTTAAAAAATTATTTCTCAACCTTATGTATGCAGATATGACAAATGATGTTTGGAAATGTAGAGATGCTAAGGTGCAGTCTCCCAGTTGCAACATTTTTTAAAATTAAATTTTTAATCGACCTGACCCAGAACTTTATCACCATCTGACAAAAATATAAAATAATTTTTTAATTACCATATTAGCGATGTTTTACTAATTTTTACAGACAAATGCTTCTCAAGAAACAAACAAACAAAAAAAAATAAACAAAAAAACAACAAAAAGTCCATCTGACAGAGTTGACAGTACAAGTTGACACAGAACTGAAGGTGGTGACAAACTAATGAGTAAAATAAAAAACTTGATACATGTGAAGTAATGCAATTTATGTAAAATACATTAAAATGAATTAATTGCACAAATTAAGTGAGATTTGACAACAATTTAACTGAAAGAGTCAAAAAAACTGATGGAGTTGACATGTGACGGAGTTCACAAAATACCAAACTACCTCAATTTATATGATGTTATTCTGAAGGAGGCCATTCTGTAGCTCGTCAGGTCCATGAAATCTTTACAGTTTACCAAAATTAAGCTTTTATTTCACAAAATTTCATCAAAGTTTTGTAAATTGTCAGTTATGGAGTTGACACATCATGGTTGTGATGAGCAACTAAGGAATAAAAGAGAAGAAAAAACTAAAGAATAACATAAGCTAACCAGAGCTAATTAGCCCTCTTAGCAAAGGAAGAGAAAGGAAGAGGTCATGGGGTCCTCAGATGTTCTGGTGCCCCCCAATAATGCCTGATGTTTTTACTTTCTTTTCATGTCTAACGGTGTTGACAAAAACTAGGGACAAATTTCAACGGAGATGGAAAATATCTAAAAATTATTTTGAATTCAACTTATCGATACTTTTATAATTATTTATATTAATATTTATACTTAATTGTCATAATATATAATTTTAGTATTTCTTTAATTGTTTTAAACTATTATAATGTATTGAGTTCTGCTCCGGGACACGGGATCTTGTTTGAAATAATAATGAAAAAAAGATATTCAGCAAACACAAGGAATATATACATTGTTGTGCTCACATGACCCAGGTTAGTTTAGTCAGATATTTTAAAAAATAATATTTTGTATATGTTTCATTCGAATTTTGTGCTTTATCCAGGACCTGTTTATTCTCAAGAATCACTGTTTTACTTACGGCAATATGTGTCATGTGACTAAGCTTTAATAGTCACATGACATGTGATATAGATATATGACATAGATATGTAGAACTAGAT